ACTTCTGGTAGGTGTCAAAGGCCAGCTGGTGCAGGCGATGGGCGCGGAGCATAGTACTGTCGTAAAGCATCCCCACCATCCTTCCTCCAATGTCAACTGGGACATGGAGCCCCCATGACAGGGCCTTTTAGACAGTGCAGGGGACTTAGAGGTGGACTGTGAGTTCTGCAGGCGGTGCTGGTTCCCACCTCTTTCCATTGCATCTTTCTAAGGGAAGTGAGTATCAGCTGGGATTTATCCCTTCCCATCCAGTTCTCATTGCTTACGTTGTTATCTATCTGGCACCTGTTGGCACCTTCATTTACAACTCGAAGTAAATTTCACTTCCACTTCCCTTGCCCTAATTCAGATCCCAAATACTCTGGTTCTCTATGTTTTAAACTCATTTTTGCATTGTTCTCATTTTTCAAGGGTAGTTGGGCTTAAGGAATATTGGTCTTAAAATTCTTCTGCACACAGGGAGTTCTGTGACATTGTTTTCTCACATTTTGTGTAATTTTTGCCTCTGCACTTAATAGCCTGTCTTGTCTTCATTTCTTCTCATTTCTGGGGGGCTAGGTTTGGTGGTGCTGGTCATGGTCGGAGAGGAAAAAATCCTTCAAGTCATCACTGCGATGACCAGTGAGCTGTGACCAAAGCTGGGAGCACTGATCTGGTGGAGTGGCCCCAGTAAGTAATAGACAGCAGTCATGTGCCAGCTTCCTTCTGGCCCAGGGAGAGTCAAGTCCGTTATGTTTCAGGGGCCTGGCTCCCAATAGGCCCCGCAGGCCCTGCAGGTTGTCTTCCCAACCTGCGCCTTGCTCCATACCTCCACCCCCCACCCCATAATATTAGAGAAGGTACTTAGTCAGACAAAATGATGCAACTTGATTTTATTAGGACAGGGCTGGTGGACACTGGAGTGCCAACTTTCGGGGCCAGGAGAGGCACTGGGGAGGAGTCTAAGGGATGAAACCTGGCCGCAGGAAGACACAGTTGCTCTCCACAGCGCGGCACTTCACAATGCGCAGGAATTTTGCAAGCTCTTTCATGTCCTTCCGGAAGCAGTAGAGCAGCTTGTAGTTCTCGAGCAGTGCATCATCTCCTATGTCATAAATGCCGTGGGCCTGCCTGGAGATCTCCCCAGTCTGGGGGCTGCCATCTTGCTGCCTCTGCAAAATAAAGGAAGAGAAGGAGAGGCCAAGCGCTTGGACACTGTTCCCTTCCTCTCTCTCATTCTTTCTCCTCCCTCCCCTCCAAGGCTCCAAGGTGTAGAGAAAGGGCTGGAGGATTCATGGGTGGAAATGAAGAATAAGCTGAGTTCTCCTGCGTCAGGGCCTGACTGCTAAAAAGAGAGCAGCAGTGTTTCTTTCCCCCGGCTCTGGAAGCCAGTGGGGACCCAGGGTTGGGGACCCGTGGTGCCACCCTAACCCCCATCAGAGTTTGGATGCCTTCCTCTAGGTCCTTCAGGTACTCATAGATGTCAGTATTCCAGATGCTATGCAGTTGGCTGTTGGCAAAGACACTCCTGAGGAACTGCACGGGCTTGAGCCACCACTGGATGAGCTGCAGGCAGATGTGGAGCAGCTCTAGGTTCTGCAGGGGAAAGACCGGCAGTGGGTGGGCTGCCCAGGGGCTCTGACCACAGGCCTCTCCCATCCCTGCCTGGAGAGAGGGTGGCCACTCACTGATTTCTGCAGAGTTTCTTTTTTGTTAGTGGGTGTTGGGACAGACTCTAGGAAGCAAAGGGAGGTCCTGGCGTTATACCAGAAGAAATACTTCTGTTCCTTCAGGCTACGAGCTTCTTCCTGGGAGAAGGACCGCCCATCAATATCTGTGCTGGTGACCAGTTCCCACTGTTCCTTTTCTGGGACCTCACTCAGTGTATGCTCATCTGCCTGCATCTTCGATTCAGAAAACAATCCTGAACTCCTTCATCTCCTCCCATTACTTCCCAGCAAGTCAAAGTCACCCCTTCCCGCCCACCCTGACATGCATCCATTTGTCAAGAGCTTACAAACTTCTGGTAGGTGTCAAAGGCCAGCTGGTGCAGGCGATGGGCGCGGAGCATAGTACTGTCGTAAAGCATCCCCACCATCCTTCCTCCAATGTCAACTGGGACATGGAGCCCCCATGACAGGGCCTTTTAGACAGTGCAGGGGACTTAGAGGTGGACTGTGAGTTCTGCAGGCGGTGCTGGTTCCCACCTCTTTCCATTGCATCTTTCTAAGGGAAGTGAGTATCAGCTGGGATTTATCCCTTCCCATCCAGTTCTCATTGCTTACGTTGTTATCTATCTGGCACCTGTTGGCACCTTCATTTACAACTCGAAGTAAATTTCACTTCCACTTCCCTTGCCCTAATTCAGATCCCAAATACTCTGGTTCTCTATGTTTTAAACTCATTTTTGCATTGTTCTCATTTTTCAAGGGTAGTTGGGCTTAAGGAATATTGGTCTTAAAATTCTTCTGCACACAGGGAGTTCTGTGACATTGTTTTCTCACATTTTGTGTAATTTTTGCCTCTGCACTTAATAGCCTGTCTTGTCTTCATTTCTTCTCATTTCTGGGGGGCTAGGTTTGGTGGTGCTGGTCATGGTCGGAGAGGAAAAAATCCTTCAAGTCATCACTGCGATGACCAGTGAGCTGTGACCAAAGCTGGGAGCACTGATCTGGTGGAGTGGCCCCAGTAAGTAATAGACAGCAGTCATGTGCCAGCTTCCTTCTGGCCCAGGGAGAGTCAAGTCCGTTATGTTTCAGGGGCCTGGCTCCCAATAGGCCCCGCAGGCCCTGCAGGTTGTCTTCCCAACCTGCGCCTTGCTCCATACCTCCACCCCCCACCCCATAATATTAGAGAAGGTACTTAGTCAGACAAAATGATGCAACTTGATTTTATTAGGACAGGGCTGGTGGACACTGGAGTGCCAACTTTCGGGGCCAGGAGAGGCACTGGGGAGGAGTCTAAGGGATGAAACCTGGCCGCAGGAAGACACAGTTGCTCTCCACAGCGCGGCACTTCACAATGCGCAGGAATTTTGCAAGCTCTTTCATGTCCTTCCGGAAGCAGTAGAGCAGCTTGTAGTTCTCGAGCAGTGCATCATCTCCTATGTCATAAATGCCGTGGGCCTGCCTGGAGATCTCCCCAGTCTGGGGGCTGCCATCTTGCTGCCTCTGCAAAATAAAGGAAGAGAAGGAGAGGCCAAGCGCTTGGACACTGTTCCCTTCCTCTCTCTCATTCTTTCTCCTCCCTCCCCTCCAAGGCTCCAAGGTGTAGAGAAAGGGCTGGAGGATTCATGGGTGGAAATGAAGAATAAGCTGAGTTCTCCTGCGTCAGGGCCTGACTGCTAAAAAGAGAGCAGCAGTGTTTCTTTCCCCCGGCTCTGGAAGCCAGTGGGGACCCAGGGTTGGGGACCCGTGGTGCCACCCTAACCCCCATCAGAGTTTGGATGCCTTCCTCTAGGTCCTTCAGGTACTCATAGATGTCAGTATTCCAGATGCTATGCAGTTGGCTGTTGGCAAAGACACTCCTGAGGAACTGCACGGGCTT